CACACACACTCATCTCAGCTCCGGGAATTTAAAATATTTCAAGGTTGGAGGGGAAGGCCCACGGTCAACTCTAGTTTTCAAGCCATCTGAAGAATCCTGACAAGTCTGCATCCTTTTCCTGTCGGCACCCCTTCCCCATGCTCCCCCATCATGTAGCAACAAAATGACATGTAACTGAAATGACAAACACGGTGAGCCCGGGCAGGGGAGGGCAAAGGACGAGGGAGAGTCTTTGTGGGGACGAGATTATCCTCTTGGTGAACAATCAAGGTACCAGGGAGACACCAGGGCCATGCCCAGGCTCATCATTCTTGAGCCAGTGACAAGGCTGTGCAGGTGGTTCCTGCTTTCAAATGACTGAATTGCTTACAAAAGTGGGCTCTGTATAGGACCATTAGTTACTTTCTTTAAAAAACCTTTTTATTTTGAAAATATAACATGTGTTCAGAAAAGCACACAAAAGATGTACAGCTTAATTTATGACATAACCACTATGCAGATATTTAAAAACTAGAACGTTACCAACCTTGAAGAAGCCCTCCTGACCCTGCCCTTCCAGATCACGACTCCCACCTTTGTCATAAATCAAGTATCCATATGCATGGTGCTGTTTCTGGGAGATTTTGTTTTACCCTTGTGACAAACTGTGGTGTCTCTCCAACTCCAAAGGAGAAGCTCTCCCGTCTGGTTGTCTCTCCAAAGGAGAAACTCTCCCATCTGCTTTTTCTCCTTGACCATCTTGGCTAGTCTTAGTCCTCTGCACTTACAAATAACTTTTATTTTATTTTATTACTTTATTTAAAAAAATATTTATCTATTTATTTGGCTGTGCCAGGTCTCAGTTGCAGCACTCGGGATCTCCATTGCTGAGTGCGGGATCTTTAGTTGTGGCATGCATATGGGATCTAGTTCCCTAACCCGGGATCGAACCTGGGTCCCCTGCATGGGGAGCTCGGAGTCTTAGCCACTGGATCACCAGGGAAGTCCCCTTACATATAACTTTTAGAATCAGTTTGTTGAACTTCACACACACAAAACCTGTTGGGTTTTTGATTGGGATTTTATTAAATTTATATACATCAGTTTGGGGAAAAGTCAACATCTTTACAATTAGTCATGAGTTGGCAAAATTTTTCTTTAAGGACCAGATAAATATTTTAGGCTTTGTGGGCTAAGAGGCAAAACTGAGAATTTTATGTAGGCAAAAAACATCCTTAATTCACAGGCTCCTGAATCTCAATAAATCAGATGTCAGCTTGAATGGATCTGGGCTGTGGTTTTCTGGCCCTGTGAATTTGCTTGTCTTCCTTTAACTTCTCTGGGTAACGCTGTATGAGGTTTTGCGTTGCGGGCTTGCAAATCTACTGCCAGCTCCCAGTTTCCTAGTTCTCTCTCCAGCTGTGTCTAATCTTCTATTAAAACCTTCCAGTGAATTCTCACTTTTGGTTTTGGATTTTTTTAGATTCTAGAATTCACTTTTTTTTTTCTCACATGTCTGGTATCTCCTTTACAGAGTAAGCAGTTATTTTACCGTCTACATCTGAAAGCTCCTGTTTCCCCAGCCTCAGTGGGCCTGTTCCCATGGCCTTTTGTTTTACTGGTTTTATCATCTTGTCTCATATGCTTGGTTACATTTTATTATATTCAGGATATTGTATTAGCAAAATTGTTTGCAGAAAGAATCTGAAGTTTAGGATGGTGACATTTTCCTCTAGAGAGGGTTTTTGTTTGCTCATGCCAAAGGCCTGGGGCAACGACCACTTGGGATCACCTTAATCCAATTTCAAGGGCTGAGATTTTGAGGCTGAGCTGCAATCCGTCTTAGAAACTTTCTACTCCCCAGCCTGACTCGCCCTGCTTCCGGGGGCAAAGGACCGAGGGCACCAACCCGAAGTGAGGGCCGGCCGCCTGGTCCACACCCTGTGACAGGCCCTGTCCCTCCCTTCTGCAAGGCCGTCAGGACCGCCCATCACCCTCCGAACGGCCTCCTCTAAGCTGGGAAACGCCCCCAGGAGGAGGGCGTCCGTCACACTAAGCCCACCGCCCGGGGCCTCCATCTTCTCCATGGTCCAGATCCAGTAATTCTCCAAACTTGTGCTATAGCGCCCTGATGCCTCCGGACTTTGAAAGTGCGTATCCAGCCTTTCGAGCTGCCCTCCCCGGGATGGTGAGTCCACCAGTACTGGGAGCAGAGGTCCTCATAGCCACATGGCGGAGTTCTGAGGAGCCTCATACAGTGCGCTAACAGCAGTAAAGTGTCAGTACACCGCTGTCCACCTTCAATTCTGTGTCAAAACAGGAAGGCCCTGGAAAAATCAACTGCTCCCCCACTGCAGCTGCAGCCCCGATACTCACAGCCGCGGTCGTGGGCTCCCCCTTGTGCCCCGGCGCACACAGCGACCTGACTCACAAGGCTTTCCCCAGAGCCCACCATGTGTGGGGGGCAGGGAGAGGACCTTCATTCCACGACAGACACCGAAGGGCTGATTCCTCAGCCGACAGACACCCAGCGTGAATCCTAAGGCGCAGGTTTCAGCCCTCCTCTCTGTTTCCAATTATAACATTCTTCCCAAGGACGTGCAAGAATCTAACTGTCACTGTTTAAATGCCTTTATTTCTTTCAAATCAAGCTGAAAAGGCAGAATAACAACTCGATGTTTTGGCTATTGGAGGAACAGTTTGGGAATTCTCAAGAAACGAAACACAAGTGACCAGTAAATATATAAAAATTTCATTAGAAATAAAATAAATGCAAATTAAAACAATGAGACACCATTTTTCCTACTATTAAAGTATCAACATATTCATTTAAGATAATAAATACCCAGTGTTAGGAACTGCTGGGGAGGAGGGTAAAGCCACACAGCCGTTCCGAGGTGTGCGCGTCAGTCAGCAGAGCCGTGAAGACGCACACACCCTGCAAGCCCGCTGCTGCTGACGCAGCTGGGGAAACAGTAGAAAAGCCTGGACAGATTCAGCTACAAGGTTGCACCTTATATCACATGGTTTAGGAGAGGCTGGAGACAATCTAACAGTGGACTGTAAAATAAACTACAGTACAGAAATACAACGGCGGAGATGGATGTCACCTATGTGGGAAGTCAGTATTTTGTTAAATGGAAAAAGCAAGTTATGAGAGTACCACATGATCTCATATTTGTTTTAAAAACCCTACGTTTATTTATACAGTACGTATAGAAAAACACTGAGAACATAACACCACACTACCGTCGGCAATCTCTGCATGGTGAAAATATGAATGATTAAAAACATTTTTATACCTACTTTTTTTTTTAACATCTTTGTTGGAGAATAATTGCTTTACAATGGTGTGTTAGTTTCTGCCCTACAACAAAGTGAATCAGCCATACATATACACATATCCCCATATACCTACTTTTGTATTTATCTGCAATGAATGTGAACTATTTCTGTGATTAAAAAAGGAAAGAAAAGTAAAAGTCTAACTTACAAAATGCCTTGCCCAGGTTTTTGGCTCATGATATGAGGGGCCACATGTCCCCAGAGGCATCTACGTGGTTTTGTTCCTTCTGACCTGAGTGGATATTCTCACAGTTTTTCTGCAAATGCCATAATCACGGACATCTGACCATCCATCTAGAAAACAGTTCTCTCATTTTCTACCAGAGCTTGTGAGGCTACGGCCGGGGACGGAAGCCACCTTTCTAGGGCAGGAGGTTGGTGGCAAAACTGTGCCCAAGGCCCGCACTTTAGTTGGGGGGCCCTCAGACCAAGTTCTGGGGAGAAGGAGGGAGGAAGCAACTGGAAAACAGGTCCGAAGGAATGTCTGTAAGGTCTCCACTTAGCCCTCATTTGCATTCTAGGTCTCCTGAGCCTTAGAGGCACGGAAGATGGGAGGATACCCGGAACCTGGTTTCACAGATTCCTTCTGAGATGGTGAGTCGTTTCAGAAGAGAAATGACAGAACTGAGAATCGTACTGAACATCAAACTGTCAGAGCAACCCCACAGCTACAAAGAGAGGCATCGGGATGGAAAGTCTGTATTCTGGGTTAGTCTAGAGATTCCAACTGAATCAGAAATCTGTGAGGACCACGCCCAGCGCGTACAGTAATGATGCCACCATCCACTTAAGAAGTCTGTCCTAGGAGCAAAAAGAGTTATATGAGTTATATGAGTCCACGTAAGACAAACCAATGAAGTCATGTATGACGTGACAAAGGCCCGCCCCCTACGTCCCGCCCTCTCCGCTGACTCCAGGAGATCTTGGGAACACAGCCAGGGCTGAGTTTTCCTCGGGGTAGCTGACAGATGGGGTTGGAAATCTGACTTTCAGTTTACAGGCTATATATAGCAGTGCGGAGCTAATACAAAGAAAAACTACATCAAGATTTGAAGGGAAGAGTGGCCACACCCACCTTGACAATAAAGTCGCTGTCAGCCTAGAGGAGAGGCCCCTAGATGTGGTTTTAGAGGCACGTCCAAAGGAATGTATTTCTGATTAGTGGTTTAAATACTGCAGTTTGGAAATGCTTTACTTTTAGAAAGAATAAATTACTGTAAATAAAGTTAGCCACACAACAGACGTCCGTGCACTTTCCTGAACGAGAAAAAGGCGGGTTTCAACCTTCAGCACCTCATGAGCACCATCCATCACGTGTCATCACGGCTAAAAGGTTGCATAACTGCTCGGAGGGTGAGAGCCCCAGGGTACAGGACAGCAGGAGGCCGGGAGGGGAGCAGATCTGTGGAAGCGCCCAGTGTCCTAAACCCGGGGTGAAAGGGGGCTGAGCAAAGGCGGTTACGCCTGGGAACTAAGCAGGAGGCCGGCGCTGAGGCCGTGAGGAAGCACGTGGACTCGTGCTGGACGGGGCGGGCTGACGCCCGTGACTGACGTTAGTGCAGAGAAGGCGACTCGGCCGTCCTTGTGGGGAGTAGCTTTTATAGTGGGGGTGAAGCTGAGTCCCCTCCCCGCAGTCACTCATGAGAAACCCGTTCCAAGGCCACATAGAAACTGTTCTTGTCGTCCAGGCAGTGCCAGCCGATGGGGCCGATCTCGCAGTCTGCGCAGACCAGGAACTTGATGTTGCCCACGTCCTTCGTGAAGCCCACGTTCTCGAAAGTGAACATGTCCTCCACCAGCCAGTGGTCTTGCAGAAGGTCGCCCTCAGGGCTGCCGCCGTCGGCCAGCGCCGGCTTCTTCCTCATGGGCGGGAGGCAGAGCTGCGTGGACAGAACACAGCAGAGCCCTGCTCACTCCGCACGGCCGGCCCCTGAAGCTCCCCCAGCCCAGGCGCCCAGCAGTAAGCCCCAGGCTGCCCCGGTCCTCGCCCGCCTCTCAGGAGAAGGGGGAGAGGCGCTGCCTGGTTGCCGCGGTAACCAGGACGCCCTGGGTCCTCAGGGCCAGCCTGTTCCTCCCTGCCCCCGACCCCGGACCCTCCAGGGCCAGCTCCTCCCGGACACTCGGCTCCCACGTGGCCTCCTCAGGGTCTCCCCCAACCGGACAACCTGCACGAGCTCCCCATGCTGCCCACTGCATGTGTATTCTTTAAAGTGGCTCGGCTGAGGCATAACTGACGCACACTGCACAGATCCAAAGTGGCCAGTATGACACATTCAGGCACACGTATACCGCACACCAACAAAGCTCTACCACGCTCAAGATAACGAGCATATTCGTCAACCCAAATTTCCTCATGCTGCTCCATTTCCTACTTGTCGTTTCTGAAATCATCTTATCAGTTTACTGGCTCAGTTACTTACCAGGGGACTCCCTCCACCAGCTCACTTTTCCTGTTCATTACCACGTCCCCACTGCCTGGAACGGCAAGTGACACTGAGCAGAACGCAAATATCTGGGACAAGGGTAAACACAGGATGTCTGGCTTCACGCTATTCCATCACTGTTGTCACGAAGATACTGGGTTTATCTTATAAAAGGAACATTAAAAAGGAAAATCTAGTTCTAGAATTTGGAAAATTATCTCTAGGACCCTTGCATCTCCCACTCACGAGGAGAAAGCATGCGCACACACGCACGCGCGCACGCAACCCCTTCGACTTCTTCCACGTGGTTAGCAGACGCCTCCGCTGCCCCGCCCACTGCAGAACACGTCAGCCAAGCTCCCTTCCTGCTCCTCACTATGGCTGCCGCCAATGCGCGGAGTATTTCCCACCCCGTGATTCACTTCCAACGCACCCCCAAACTCTAATAAAATAGTATGGCCTTAATGTGCTAGCCTGGCATTGGCAATCAGGACAAAAGCAAACAATTTTAAAAGTTTTTTAAAAATTAGACTGACATCAATCCAAAACAGGTCAATGCTCTGGTGGGGATGAGAATGTCAGGAAGTCCACGAGAGCTGCCGGTGTGTGAAACACCCTGGAGCCTGCACTTCTGAACTCCAGGCCTTTAGACGCTGGTAGGGTATCCCTGGCAGGGAGGAGGGAGCTCTGATCCGGAACATTCCCCCTCCCTGTCCTCCAGGCACTCGGCTTATTAAAACACATCTGTGCATTTCCCTTTGCTGTGTCACCTGAGGCTTCATCTGAGGACACATCACAATATATGATAGTCCCTCTTCCTGTTATATTGTCTCCAGCCACGCTTTTTGCCTCATCTGATGGTTAAATGAGTCCCTAATGCTTTGTTTTACCCTGAGTGAAAATGGGAACAAGCAGAGGCAAAGAGAGGTAGGAATCAAAATTCAGGAACCAGAAAACCTGAATTCCAGTCCTAAGAGTAATTTTCTGTGGGCCTAAACGTCCCTAGGTACATTTCCAGCCTACCTCCTATACTGTCGGTGTGAAATCACATCTTAACTAAATGCAAGAGGAGTGAAATGTGAGGTGAGAAAATCGAAGGCTATACAAGCGTTAGCCCTCAGCACATGTCTAGCAAAGGAGCGCGAATCCCCCACATTGTCCCCGTTCACAGTGCATAAGGCCACCTCTGCTGTCTCCCATTTGATTAGTCACTAAAGGGCAAGGCTATTACTAGCCATCCATTCAAGGGGTCACACTGGGTCCTGTTCCCTCTCTTCCTCAACATTCCCATTTTTACTGAAATCCTGTTAAGTCAGACCCACGTATGTGCACTTGTCTGTGTATCTGTGCCCGGATCTCAACGAAGTGGAGGACAACGCTAGGGTCACACTGTGGGATGTATCATGTGGGACACAATGAAGCTTTCTGGACAGACCACTGGGGTGGAAATCTAGAAATTAATACCTAATTTGAGGTGGCCAACTCGGCTGTCTGGGGGCCAAAGTCGCCAGACCCCTGACGAGGTGGGTTAGCTGTGCGGCCAGGGCCCCGGCCAGCACCCTGGATCCCGGCCAGCTCCCTGAGATGCATCGAACACCACGACGCTGAGATTCTGCTGATGTCTCACTGAAACCTCTTTTGCTTTCAAGAACTATTAACAGTACCCGTTAAAAAATAAAATATCTTCTTTCTCTTTGTAAAAATACATTCTCATTATAGAGAACTTGGCAAAAGCATGCTGTACTATAGATTTGAATAAAAACTGTCACAGTACAAAGTAAACTTCTGTTAACCTTTTTTGTAATTTTTCCCCCTTCAGTGAGTACATGTGGTGGTTTTATTATTTTTTATTATTATTTTTTTAACGATACTGACATGGGGAAAGAACCCGTCTTATTTATTTATTTATTTATTTATTTATTTATTTATCGCGGCATTGGGTCTTCGTTGCCGCGCATGGTTTTCTCTAGTTGCAGTGAGCGGGGGCTACTCTTCGTTGGGGTGCGCGGGCTTCTCATTGCAGTGGCTACTCTTGTTGTGGGGCACGGGCTCTACGCGCACGGGCTTTGGTAGTTGCAGTGTGCGGGCTCAGTACTTGTGGCTCACGGGCTCTAGAGAGCAAGCTCAGTAGTTGAGGCGCACGGGCTTAGTTGCTCCACGTCACGCGGGATCTTCCAGGACCAGGGCTCAAACCCGTGTCTCCTGCACTGGCAGGCGGATTCTTAACCACTGCGCCACCAGGGAAGTCCCTTGTAGTGGTTTTAAAACCACACAAATGTCCACAAATTCTCTGACAACCTTTCCAAGATGTGGAGACTGTGCCTCTCCCCTTGAGCCTGGGCAGGCCAAGGTGGGAGGGACAGGCTAGGTTAGGGAAGGGTGGGCCACTTTTGCAGGTTGCTCTTGGAACAGTTGCTCTGGGAACCCTGGTGACCCTGGAAGAACCATGGCTACCCTGAGGCCTCCTAGCGGATACCGGGAGGAGCGGCCCATCACAGCCTGTCCCAGGTGCCTGAATCCTCTCAGTCCACAGGCAGACACGGGAGTGGGCAAGCTTCTGAGATGACCCCTCTAACCGCTGCCCCGTGAAACACCATGAATGAGAGAACTGCCGAGCTGTAGCTGGGCCCTGCCAACCCCCAAATTTGTGAGCAAAATAAACGTTAATGTTTTAAGTCACTGTCTGGGGTGATTTTGTTATGTAGCAATAACTAGAACAACACTGCCCAACACACCTGAGGCATGTTCCATTTTAATTCCTGATTTTTCACTGTGATAAACTATACATAACATAAACTGTACCATTTAAATAATTTTTAAGTGGGCAGTTTGGTGCCATTAAGTACATTCACATTATTGTGCAACCATCACCACCATCCGTCTACCCTTTTATAACCACACTTGCCAACACCCCTGACCCGCCCCCACTTCCTAAACCCTGGCAATCACTAATCTGTTGACCATTTCTAAAATTCAAAAATGTCATATAAATGGAATGATACAATAGGAATCTTCTGGGACCAGCTTTCTTCACTCAGCATAATTCCCTGGAGATTCATCCTCATCCAAGTTGTGGTGCCCGTGGTGTGGCATCATCCACCAGCAGAAGGCCTGCTGGGCTGTTTCTGGTTTTCCGCTCTTAGGAATAAAGGTGCAGTGAACATTTGTGCACAGGTTTTGTGTGAACATGTTTTCATCCCGCCAGGGATAAAGGCCCGGAGAACACTTGCTGGGTCCTATGTTAGGTGCATGCTTAGTTTGAGAATAATATCTCGATTTGCTCTCATTCTCACCCAAACAGTGCTCTACCCTTTCTCTCCCACAAGCTCATCTTCCACCCCCCTCTCCTGCCCCAACTGCCCTCTCCCTCAAAAGGTAAGAAAGCAACTATTCCCTTCTCTAACTCATCATCCTTTCCCT